TTTAGTACCATTCTCTCTTTGTTATGATCCAGACATTCCCAACTGTTATTTCTCACTCTCTTTCAAAGATCCTAATGCTAACTTGGAGGAGTCCAACACTCTCACATTATAATCATCATCGACGCCCTACTCTTCATTTCTGTTGCTTTTTCTTCATGGCTGGGGCAAAGTTGGACTAGTCAAAAATTTGATGCAAGCATAGTTCATTTTTTTTCTCTTTGAGCATAAAGCTTGGAGTAATTGATGTTTATATATGTATATTTACTGGATTTGTACAAAGTATCTTGGGTAAGTCTTTAAGTTCTATTTTATAGGTGTTGTCTTGAAGTATAGCATTGGCTTCCCTATAAATTACTTGTTAAGTTGATATAAGTTGTAAAAGTGCTTCATGTTACAATTTCGCCAAAATAAAGGCTTTACCTGAATGAAATTGGTGCAGATTAGATTAAGACACTGAAATGATGTAGAGGGTGTTTGTGCTTATTTTTAGAAGGATTTAAGCTATATGCTAGTTTTTGGTGGCTTTTGAATTTTAATGACAGTGTTCGTGGTTTTTGGGTAGGATAGTCGGTTACTTGGTCAAATCTATCTATTTAGGCTAGCTTAGAAGTTTTACTTCTGGTAATGCATTTTGTTGGACTCTAAATCCAATTGTTATATTCATATGCATATACTTCATTATGTTCCTATGCTTATTCTGTTGTCGATGTCTTTAGAGTTAATTACTTCTGTACCTTGAGCAGTTGTTTTCTTTGAACCATTCTGTTCTACTGAAATCTGCATTCTTTTTGATGCTTGAAATTCGGCACTTTTTCCACCTAATCATTTTTCTTTTCTGTTCAGTTGTTTGTAAATCTCGAATTGGATTATCTTTTCTTCTTTGTGTATACCTCAACTTGAAACTACATCACAATTTTTGGCATGTTTGCTATATCCACTCCTAAACAGTAATTTTGGGAGTGGGATTGCCGAAAATGCCCTTTTGATGTTGAGGGCGTTTCTGGAATGGACTTGGCCTGTTTTGGTTTGGGAGAAGGGCAATTTGGTCCTCACACACCCCCAAAGTTACTGTTTGGGAGTGTGAATAGTTGGACCCGGGGTAGGAGGGAAGGGGTGGAATTGTTCATTTAATCACATGGGATTACAAAAATACCCTAAAAAGTTCTAAAACTTGCAACAAGGGTAGGAGGGAAGGGGTGGAATTGTTCATTTAATCACATGGGATTACAAAAGGACAAATTTTGAAAATCGACCTTTTCTCAAATTTAATAGGTAAAACCGACCTTCTAACAAAATATTTGGCAAAAACGACCTTTTTTTGCACGGGGCTGCTAGTCCCGTGCAAAAAAAGGTCGTTTTTCCAAACAACTCACACGTCCCCCCCTCCCCCTCCCCTCTCCCTCTCCCTCTCCCTCAGCTCCTTCTCCTCATCTCTCTCATCAACCGCCAAGCTCACCAGACCCGCCTTCTCAATCGCCCCCGAGCTCCGCCACGAGCCCCTCCGCACCGCCCAACCTCCTCTAGCCCTCTCCCTCGTCTCCTCCTCAGCACCACCAGCACCAGCTCCGCACGCCATCAGCCTTGCCTCCCCCTTCACCGCGCCTCTTCGAGCTCCACCTCAGCTCGGATCCCCCACCCCAAGCCGTCGCGCCACCCGCAACGAGTGAGTGGATTTGGAAAATCGACTTTTTTTTGCACGGGACTAGCAGTCCCGTGCAAAAAAAGGTCGATTTTCCCAAATATTTTGTTAGACGGTCGGTTTTGCCTATTAAATTTGAGAAAAGGTCGATTTTCAAAATTTGCCCATTACAAAAATACCCTAAAAAGTTCTAAAACTTGCAACAAGCCTCCTGAAACGTAAAAATTAAGCATGTCCCTTGTAAAGTAAAAAATTGTAACCAACCCCCAGACATAGACTGTTGTTTTCTTCTGTCTGATTGCGAATTTGAATATTTCCTTCTTTTAATTTGTGTCTGCAACTGAATCATCCCATACGCACTTTACAAATGCGACCCCTCTACCCGATGAAATGAATTCGATGTTTTGGTTTTCTTTCTGACAATTGGTGCTAGTGGTTCACGTAATGTGCTGAGTATTTCATGGAACGTGCTACGAGCATGGCCAGAACAGCTGATTGTTTGGGCTTATTGTATTTGTATCTGTTTAAAATCATCAAATTCAAATGTGAATTCGAATATGGTTCTGAGTTTCTTAAACTTAGGTTTTGAATAGTCAATATTTTGATATTTAGGGATGCTTATAGCATTCATATTTATTTTGGTTTAAAAAAAATGCTTTCGCATCTATTAATCATAATTGGACACACACAATCACTAATAATTAAATCCGAACCTGTTGTGGGGGTGGTCGGTGTTATGCCACTGTTCGGTGATATTGTCCGGTCAGCGCACATTGTTGCGGCTGAATCTGGTTCTAGTTGGTTTTGGGCTGTGTTTTTCGGAATTTTTTTGTATTCGGGATCATATTCTAAAGATAGAGCTGTTCCCGAGGTTTAGGATATGAAGCAAATCAATGAGAGCATCTCTAAGGTTCCCTACAATGTCTCTTGGGGCTGTAAAAAAAAATTGGGAAATCAAAGAATAGGAAACCTATTTCCTATAATAATTGTTTTGAGGTTGTTTGGTTGGCTTAAAAAAGAAGAAAACTATAGAATATGAGATGAGATGAGTTATCACCTTATTATTGGATGATGTGAGTGGTTTTTAAAAAAAAAAACTTGTTTTGAGGTTGTTTGGTTGGTTAAAAAAATAAGGAAATGAATTGGAGGTATATTATTGGATGATGTTTTGAGGTTGTTTGTGTTTGGTTCATTTTTAAAAAGAAGAAAATAGATAAGATGAGATGAGTTGGAGGTATATTATTGAATGATGTGACACATACTTAAGGAAATTAATTTTTTGTTTTTTTTGAGGAAATTGATGGAAAGGAAGGTTTAATGAGATGAGATGAGTTGTCACAATATTATTCGATGATGTGTGTGATTTTTAAAAATGAGATAAAATGAGATGTGATGAGTTGGATGATGTGACACATTTATTGTGTTTGATTTATTTTTAAAGGTAAGAAGTGAGATGAAATGAGATGAGTTGGAAGATAAAAATATTATTTTATTGGATGTTGTGGATGAGTTTTAGGGATGAAAATAGATAAAAATATTATTTTATTGGTTTCCTTGTACCGATTTTCTTTTCTTGGTTTTTAGGAAACCAACCAAACGGCCCCTTAATTTAGGGGGGATTTTAAGGTAGGGGAATGTTCTCCTCCAATGGTTTCCCTTTAAAAGTCCCCTAACCCCTTAATTATTCATATTTAAGTATTTTAATTTTATTGATTAGGATTTAATTAAATATGTGATTTATTTATAAATGAATAAATAATTAAATATTAATAACTAAAAATAAATAAAGAATTAATTTAATTTAAGAAATTACCTTATATTCTCATTAAATTAATTAATCATATTAAATTTTAACAAATAATTAATTTATATAAATCATGTTAAAAGTTAAATATTATTTTAAATTTAAATTCATATTATTTAAATATTAATTTCATTTAACAATAATATCTTAGCGGTCATATCTCAGCGGTTGTATTATAACGTTCATATTTCTTCGGTCATATATCAACGGTCATATTTTAACGCTTATATTTTAACGGTCATATTTTAACGGTTGTTTTTTTAATTAAATGTGGTCACTCCCTCTATAAATATAGCACTACCACTGTCTTTCATTTTCACTAAATTCAAATTCATTCTTTTTTTTAACCCAATCTTTAATATTATTTATGGCTAGTAATTTGTTACATGCCTTGCTACAAGAGGAAGAGGATGTTACAGCCTATACTAGAAAAAAGGCTATACTACAAAAACACCCTATACTAGAAAAACAACCTATAATTAATAAAAATATTAATAAAAATTATAATAAAAAATTATAAGGGGTACATTTTAAAAAATATTTATCAAATTTAATTAACTATACATTAACTCAATTATTTTATTTTGAATTAACAATACATTAACTAAATTTAATTAACTATATTAAAAAAATATTAATATAAAATTATAAGAGGAATGTTAAGGGACTTTAACCTTCCCCTTAATTTGGGGAGGGAGTTAAAGGGGTTTGGGGTGAAGGGGAAAGTTTTCCGACCTCTTGGAGCACGTTCCCCTTTATTCCCCCTTAATTTAGCTAAGGGGCCGGATTTTTCCGGCCCCTTGGAGATGCACTGAGAGTTATATATTACAAAGAAGAGAGAAGAATTAATCGAGAAGCAATTCATATACATCAAACAAGCTCAACAAGTAGACCGATCAGATTCCAATCAAACAAAAGAAACGGAACAAATTATTCTTCTTTCATTCGTTTATATTCATCTCTTTAGTTTTTTTTTGAAACTTACATTAGAACGAAACTATTACTAATCACACTTGTACACACACAATCAGTAATAATTAAATTCAAACCCCGATCCTTAGTTAACAACATTGCACTTCCTCCTAATCTCCCCCTGCCTCCCGGTGAGCACCTCGATCGCCCCCATTTTCACCATCGCCTTCCCGAACTTCTTCCCCCACACCCTCGCTCTCCTCGCGTTCTCCTCCACCACCCTCCTCGTCAGCTCACTATCATACAGCGTCTGATCCGACCCAAACAACCCCCGACGACGCTCCAAGTTCACATAGTACGCGTTGTCTAGCCTGTTCGGCGTAATCAAATCCATCTTCACTGTCGGATCACTTGCACCCCCAACGGTCCTCGGACATCTTTGCTTCAAGAACGACGCGAACAGCGGATCCAGTGAAGGGTCCTGCGGGTGTGTCGCATTGAATTCATACAGCCTGCCTGCGAAGGACGAGCAGTGGGAGACGCCGAATGAGTGGGCCCCTGATAGAGTGACCATTTCGTCGAGTGTCAGTCCTTTGCGGGCAAAGTTTTCTTTGAGTTGGTCAGCATTGAAGTTAGGAGGAGGGAGGTTTAGCGGGATGTCGTCGATGAGGGAGACGCTACCGTCGCGTCGGCCAGAGGGGACTGCATAACTGATGCCACCGGCAATGAAGGAGGCGTCACGGGCGGCGAAGGCGAGGATGTCGGCGCAGGAGACGGTAGAGGGGCAGATGGACTCGAGCTTCGCTTTGGCTTCATCGATTACTTCGAAGCCTCGGAGGCTCGGATTGTTTGCCGGAGAATCCTTTTCTGCTGGGGCGCCTGGGAGGGAGTCGAGGAGGACGGAAGCATCGCAGCCCTGGATTGAAGGTTATAACGAGTTAGGTGTTGGTTAACAAAATCGCACTTTGTTTCTACTATCATTGTAGACATCATAAATTTTTTTTTCCCCAAAAATTATTAGTTTTTTTTATAAAAAATTATGGGAATTTCTTAGTTGCCCAGCAAAATTCTTATTTTATGTCATAGACAGCTTTTGTGAACTTAACTGGACTTTACCGTCCACATACTTTTCACCTCTAAGATTTGCGATCGAGTTTAGATGTGTGTTACACATTAGCATGCATCTCAAGGCAAATATAAGGATTAAAGAAAGTACGTAGGTGGACGGAATTTGAGTCCACTTGTTAAGTTAAGAGGGAGCTCTTTGCTGAATAAATGATGGTTTGGTTTAACTGTCAAAACCATAACTAAGAGAATCCGATTCCCACATTATTTGCCTGTGTGAGTTCTCAAAGTTTTTGTGCGCGTATAAAGCTTCAAAAATTTACGATAACTAATTAGGAGTTGGGTATCGCGTACATACCCTAACAAAGCAGTCATGAAAATGCATCCTCACGAGTCCAGGAGCAAATCCAGGGTTTCGAGCCGCAAACTTAAGAACCGCCTGGCGAACTATGGATTCAACGAGTCCAGGAGCAAATCCAGGGTTTCGAGCCGCAAACTTAAGAACCGCCTGGCGAACTATGGATTCAGCTGACGGACATTTGTGACGATAGAAGCCTACTTTCAAAGAAGCTGGTGGGTTCGGAAATCTGGCCTCGGTCGCCAAGAAGAAGAAGAAGAAGAAGTAACAGCACAAAACAGCTATTTTAACCACAGCTCTTCCCATAACTTCACCTCTTTGTTTCAATTCTTCTTTATTTTTTTAAAAATTTATTTATTGAAATTACAATTAATTAGAAGAGAGAAGATTAGTGATGGAGGGAATTGAGCCTAACGCGTGCCCTCTTTATAGCTCGAGAAAATCTTGGAATAAGCTATACCAATGCTATCTCTTATTAGTATAAAAAAAAAAAAATCAAAAAATGGAAGTAGGCTGGAACGTGCATAACACCAATCCAATGGGCAGGACTTATTCCTAGATCAGAATTGGTTCGGTAATATGAAAACGCGCGGACTTTCGCATATACTAAATTGGCTGGATACGGTGGTATAAAGTTTGATCACGTACAAATGTCAAATGCCTTGTGCTTTCAAATCGTAGTTTATGAGATCTCAGTTCTGAACAGCTAATTAGGTACGAAGATATCAAACGTACATTATGCCTTTGACACTCAAACAAATGATAGTTTTATGTGATTTTAGTTTTGAACAGCTAATTAGAGTTATTATATAAACTTTGGGTCTTTACCCCGCGTCGTGTTGTTGGAGGGCTCTAACTGCTCACTCGTTTCTTCTCTGAATTAATTACTAATTTCAGTCAATGGGCATATAATCGTAGGTGTAAGTAAGCTTATATATAATTAAGCAAGTAAATCATTTGTAACATCTGAGTGGGGTTCAGCTGTGATCTTATAACTAGGTTGTAGCAAATGGAACTGGTTTTGACAGCGAAAATATTGAACAGCCATATATGAAAGCGATGCATGAATGTGAGGGGAAGATGATAGTCGGTAGCGTAAGGATTATTAAAACGGTTAATTGCAGCAATCTTGTTCTATTTAATAGCACACATATCTCTTCGTCACGGTGAGCATACTAACAAATCGCTAAAATTTTTGTGTTAATTTATCTCACACAGCGTGGAAGTTAAAACCTCGGAATCAACCAAGAGGTGCTCTTCGAATCCACGAAGAATGATCTCCGTATACATGAAGAAAAGTAATATAATATAAGAGTAATTTTTATTGATAAAAGTTATGATTATGGGTCTTACAAACCTTTGCTTAATTAGAAAAACAAAGTAGACTCCTTCTAGGACCCAAAAATAGTAAAAAATACCCTACAAAGATTCCCTCAAAATAAGGAAATCAACTGATCAAATTTGGAATCAAACTAGATTTATTTGCTGATCAAAACAGATGCATGAAATATTATCCAAAATAGCAAAACTAACAAAAAATTATCTCTCTCAATCCCAAAGGAATTTCATAGAGAGCAAGAAATCAAATATGATTGGTCTGGTTGACTTCATCTCGAAAAAATATGTAATTTTCATTTAGTGTCCGTCCAATTCAAATATACGGATTGAGAGATATGATTTGTTCTTCATTGCAAGTAAATTTCCTTTGTTGGGGCCATGTTTGGGCTTCTACCAGTTCATTTTATCCATGAATGTATTTGTAACGCTACCAACCTTTAACCTTACATTAACCCACCTCTTCACATGAATTAGTTAACCCCTCCTTTAATTTTAATCCTTCACAATGGTTTATTAGTCCTTTGACCTAATTAACGCATTTGGAGAGTTAAGGAGGGATTAAAGCCCCCCTTAACTTTTTCCCTTATCTCTTTGCCAACTGGGGCCTTAGGTTTAACATTTTCAACATCACTTCACCTTCATGAATCCTTCTCATGTTTTTCAACATTTCCTCTGTCGGATCCTAAATCCATTTACTACAGCGTCGTTAAAAGATGACAGTTGGATCCCGCACAGAATGCACAAAATTAAAATATTGCTAACTTCTTTTATAAGCTTATTTTAAACTAATGCGCTGCAATCGTCAATTTATAAACAAGCAAGTCAGACCGCTCCAAAAATCCTCATGCAGGATAAAGACACGAAACATTCTATAATCACCCCAATTGGCATTTCACAACTGCAATCACACGCATACTAATATTTGTTTCAATGACGAGGGCACAAGGCATTTGACCTTTGTGCAAATCAACCTCCTCAATCGAGCCAAATTATTAAAAAAGTACTCGCTTTCAGATTAGCAAAATCAAATCTACATCGGCTATAACTTATATCCCAAGATTTTGTCAACTCATTTCCTTGTTATAAATACTCGATGCGCGAGGCTGCAAATCTCTACATCGGCTAATCTTCCCTCTTGTCTTAATCTTCAATCAGAAAAAGAAGGAAGAATTGAAACGGCTAGAGAGGAAAATATGGGGACAGCACGTGTTAAGCTAGCTACCCTATGCTATTGCTTGTTCTCCTTCTTGGCAGCTGAGGCCAAATTTCCGAGCCCGCCTCCTCTGAAAGTAGGGTTCTATCAAGACAAATGCCCATCGGCCGAGTCCATAGTTCGTCGGACGGTTCATAAGTTCGTGGCTAAAAGCCCTGGATTTGCCCCTGGACTCGTCAGGATGTATTTCCATGACTGCTTTGTGAGGGTATGCGACGATGCCGAATCTTAATTATTAGTGTTTTTTTTTTGCCCCCTTCTTCTATAATTAATCCAATGTTTTACCCGAGTTATTTTAACACCCATATAGACGTTTAGTTTCTGTGTGTCCTCGTACCGAGTTTACTTACCCTTAAACCCAAAATGTAGATTATAAAGTGTGTAGCTATGTATAATAGAACTATTATAGGCTTATATCCACAGATTTATAAAAGAGTGCGACATTATTAACCAAACCATCTTACTCTCTACAAAATTTTGAATCCAGGGCTGCGATGCTTCCGTCCTCCTCGACTCCCTCCCAGGCGCCCCAGCCGAAAAGGACTCTCCGGCGAACAATCCGAGCCTCCGAGGCTTCGAAGTAATCGATGAAGCCAAAGCGAGGCTGGAGTCCATCTGCCCCTCTACCGTCTCTTGCTCCGACATCCTTACCTTTGCCGCCCGTGACGCTTCCCTGATTGCAGGTGGTATCAATTACGCCGTCCCCTCCGGCCGACGCGATGGCAGAGTCTCCCTAATCGACGACATTCCCCAAAACCTCCCTCCTCCTAACTTCAATGCTGACCAACTCAAAGAAAACTTTGCCCGAAAAGGACTGACACTCGATGAAATGGTCACTCTATCAGGGGCCCACTCATTCGGCGTCTCCCACTGCTCGTCCTTCGCAGACAGGCTGTATGGATTCAATGCGACACACCCGCAGGACCCTTCACTGGATCCGCTGTTCGCGTCGTTCTTGAAGCAAAGATGTCCGAGGACCGTTGGGGGTGCAAGTGATCCGACAGTGATGATGGATTTGATTACGCCGAACAGGCTAGACAACGCGTTCTATGTGAACTTGGAGCGTCGTCGGGGGTTGTTTGGGTCGGATCAGATGCTGTATGATAGTGAGCTGACGAGGAGGGTGGTGGAGGAGAACGCGAGGAGAGCGGGGGTGTGGGGGAAGAAGTTCGGGAAGGCGATGGTGAAAATGGGGGCGATCGAGGTGCTCACCGGGAGGCAGGGGGAGATTAGGAGGAAGTGTAATGTTGTTAATTGAAGACGTTAATTGGCTTAAATTGGTGATTGTTTACAAGTGTGATTAATCCTAATAAACAAAAGGAAGTGCGATTAATAATTGTTTCACTCAAATGATTCAGAAATAAATGAATCAAAGAAAAGACGAATAATATCATTCATATCTTCGTATAAAAAAAGAAAAATAGAAAAGAAAAGAAAAGAAAACTTTGTATCTTTATGTTAAAGAGTGAAAACTAATTGTAGATCTACTTGTAGGTTTTCTTTAGGCATTGTATTTTACCTGTTTTACTGCTTTTCAAACTCATCAACTCCGAGGGAATTGTCCGTTGGATATGAGTAGGCGTAGCGTTAATTGTATCTCTGATGTATCGTGATGTAATTTCTTCGTATATATGTTTTAGTAGCGATCGAGGAGAGTGGTCGATTGTAGAGCGGTCTATAAGCGGAATCAAGTCATGTGATCGTCATGGTATAAAGCTAATAGATTGCGTTTGCTTGCGAATATAGATCGACATCGAGTGCACATATTTATTCTAGTCATTTACTTCATGAAGTGTAGATTTGGCGAAGAAATTGAAGAAGAACATGTTTTGGGAAGCATGACACATTTTGGAGGCTTCACGGTCGACCGCGAACTTTGCGGAGGTCGACCGTGAAAGTGCACAAGACATGGTGGTCGTTGGATTTTTGACGGTCGACCGCGACAACATGTTCGGTCAACCGCAGACCCTGTAATCGATTTACGTGTTTTCTTTCGTTCTGTCCGGTCGACCGCGAGTTTTGGTGCGGTCGACCATGAGTCGGGCTCGGGGTTGTTTTGATTTCCTATTCTGTTTGAGATTTGTGCTTGGTATAAATACCAACACACGTTTTAGGGGTTCTTTGGGATTGTTGTAGGGGATATTTGGAACACAAAAAAAGATGTATTTGTTGGCCTTCTTGTTTTGATGATGATTTACAAACAATTTACCACTAATGTTGTTTGTCTAGTGTTTGTGCATTCCTATGTTTTGTAGACAAACAACGTAGTTGGAGGTTGGATGGATTGCGCCTCAACGATGATATCCAAAGGAGGTTGGCGGAATGTCGGGTTGAAGCCTATACAATTCAAGTTAAAGATCAAGTTCAAGCTTCATCCGCAAGTGTACCAAGTCAAGCTTAATTGAAGATCAAGATTGCTTGGGTAATGTAGTTTTAGATTTTATATTATGTGTGTTATATACTCTAAGCTCAATATCTATACACACACATTTTATTGGTTTCTTCGTATATATATATATAGTTATATATATATATATAGAGTAAAACTTGTGTCAACTTAAGTGGACGTCCACTAAGTTTCTTACCCATTGATGATCACTTGATTGAGCTGCTTTGTGGATGATCCGCTCCGTTAAACTTGATCTATATATTCTAAAACCCCAACACACCAAATTTGGGGTGAACCCATCGTGGTTTGACCCTTCATCCACTCGTATCAATTTTAATGGTTTCAAATGAATAGAACTTTTTACATGGCTCGACGGAGGGTCAAACCACGACGGGTTCACCCCAAATTTGGTGTGTTGGGGTTTTAGAATATGTAGATCAAGTTTAACAGAGCGGATCATCTACAATGTAGCTCAATCAAGTAATCATCAATGGATAAGAAACTTAGTGGACGTCCACTTAAGTTGACACAAGTTTTACTCTATTTGTGAAAATATTGTCTTATTAGTTTATAGACTTTAATATCAGTTTATACATGTTTTACTAAGTCTATAAAAACATTTCACAAAGTTTCAAAAGTTGGTTTATGTCAAAACATCAAAATTCAAGTATCTCATATTTTCATGTTTTGGACTATTTTGTATAATGATGATATTTTTCATTTGGGAGGTCCTTTCTGATAACCAGTCACTGTAGCATGTTTATTATCATGTCTACAATCATTCCCCAAAGTTTTACATTTTTTGGAATTTATTTGATATTTTTAAACATGGTTTTAAAACCAGCAAAATAATTTTTGTTTGTATCAGAATGCGGTCGACCGCACCGGTCGACCGGATCTGTGTTCTCGTGCTCACTGGGCGACAGAGAGTCTGTCGGGCGACCGGTGCGATCGACCGCCGCACCGGTCGACCGACGATGGTCCAGATCGTTTCTTCGGGTTTTTGCTCTCTGTCGGTCGACCGACGAAATTTCCGGTCGACCGACAATAGATCTGTTGGCTTCCAACGGCTATTTCTCTGAGCTGTTTGCTGGGGCTGTTTTTGTCTTTTGACTTGGGATTTTTAGCTGAGGTTTTGGAGGATATAAATACTCTCTTTGATATCAGTTTTCAACTAAGAAAAGAAGTTTTTAAACAAGGGTTTGAAAAAGAGTTTAAGCTTGTTTTAAGCTTGTTTAAGGGTTTGGTTTAAGCTGTTTTGGTTTTCACAAGTGGAGGAGATTATCTTCTTGTTTTGGGCTCATATCTCCATCTCTCCATCTTGATCTAGAGAAGTTTTCCTAAACTCAACTCTAGCTTTACATTTACATACTTGTTTGATTATCATTGTTCTTAAGCTAGATTTTATATTTGAGTTTAGTTTGATTTTGATTTCACTCATTGTTACAAACACCCACTTTGAGCTTATTGTATTTGCATACATAGTATATTAGGGTTGTGAGAGATTGTAACATTGAGTTGTGCTTAAATTGAGTTCTCATCCATTGTAGAGAACAAATTTATATTTGTTACATTGTGAGTATTGTAAGGTTTTTGGTGAGCTAAAAAATCGAGAGTGTGTTGTGAAGTTTTCGGTGAACTAGAAAACCGAGTGTGAGGAGTGAACGTTGTTCGGTGAGCGTTGATAACCGACACTGTGTGGTTGTAAACGTTATTCGGGTGAGCGTAGAAAATCCGGTCGTGATAGTGGATTTCTCCCCGGGAGTGGGGAGCGGAGACGTAGGACGGAAGGTCCGAACTCCGTGATCATATAGTGTGTTTGAGTATGCTTTGGCGTTCATTTATATTCATGCTCATATCTTATATCGCCATTGTCATTAGCTCATTATCTATATGATCCACTATCTAGTTCATATTGTTTACCATTGTGTTAGTTTTCATATCCGTGCATATATCATAGGATATACCTCTTTGTTGTTCATATTGCTTATCCTAGCTTATATATAGTTGTTATATTTTATACTTGCTAGGATAACTTATTAATTAGTTTTTAATTAGCATTTAATCGGATTAGATTAGCATAAGACCCTAATCACCCCCCTCTAGGGTCTAAAAATTATATCACCTAAACCAAAATCTCATGATTTTTCACCCGTGAATGGATGAACAAGGGTGTGAGAGGGAGTTGTGTATGGGCTTTACTAAGTTAACACTAATGGGCCCTTTGTGTCATTTGTGTGCTAATCTAATTTTGAGCTTTATTTGTATCTTGCTTGCTTTTTATATTATGGATATGCATGGTTTAGGTTATGCCATTAATATTGCTCCTAGGTTAGATAATTTCCCTTATGCCCAATGGTGTGTTAGATTTAAACTTTTTGTTCAATCTAAACACTTTGATTTATGGGAAATTATAGATGATGCCTATATTGTGCCCACTATGGAGAAATCCAAGTGGAATAAAAATGATCATCGTATGTTTACTATGAACAACATTTTGTTAGAATACTTGCTAAATGCTTTTAACTCATCTATGTCTAACAAGTTTGTTCATGTTGATAGTGCTTACACCTTATGGAAATTAATTGAAGCACATCAAGGGGACTTGGAGGCGATCCAACAAGTTTTGGCGGATCCGGCTTCAAGTTCATGTGGAGCATCATGCACACGGCCACTAGGCGATAGCCCTAGTGAGGTTTGCGAGTTCGAAACCATAAATGATTTACCTAATGATGAACTTGCTTGTGCATATGATAGGTTAATGCATGCCTACACTAAGTTGCATAATAATTTCATTGATCTTAAAAGCAAGCATGTTAATTTAAAATCCGATCATGAATTGCTAGCATCAAAATTTGATACTATTGCTAAAGATAATGTGATCCTTAAAGAAAATAATGAAAAATTAAAATTGGATCATATTACCTTGAGTTCCAATGTTGCTAGCTTAATTCATGAGAAGAATGATGCCATGTTAGAAGTAGAGTCTATTAGAAGTAAATTTACATCATTTAAAAATGATCATATTTGCTCTACTTCTATTGACAATGCTTCTATGCCTAATGATGAGTTGAACAATATTAAAAATCGCATTTCATCTTTAGATTCAACTCTTAACACATGCATTGTTAATAACAAGAAACTTATGGACTTATGTGCAAAGTCTCGTGCTAACTCTTCAAAACCAAGCACTCACTATGCACATATGTATAGCAAAGTTTACAAATGCTCAATTTGCGGTCGTAAAGGCCACATTGCTAAATTTTGCTATGATGCACACAAATCTTCTAAGATTAATGCTTCTTGTGTTGTGCTAATCTTGTTTTGATTGCATTTGCATCTTGCTTGCATATTTTTACAATTTATGGATATGAATGATGCATCTTGTTTAGGCTATGATTCTAGTATTGCTCCTAAATTCAATATTTTTCCTTATGCTCAATGGTGTTTTAGATTCAAAATATTTGTTCAATCTAAAAATATCGATTTATGGGAAATCATTGATTATGCTTATATTGTGCCCATTTTGGAGAAATCCAAGTGGAATAAAAATGATCATCGTATGTTTACTATGAACAACATTTTGTTAGAATATTTGCTAAATGCTTTTAACTCATCTATGTCTAACAAGTTTGTTCATGTTGATAGTGCTTACACCTTATGGAAATTAATTGAAGCACATCAAGGGGACTTGGAGGCGATCCAACAAGCTTTGGCGGATCCGGCTTCAAGTTCATGTGGAGCTTCATCATGCACACGGCCACTAGGCGATAGCCCTAGTGAGGTTTGCGAGTTCGAATCCATTAATGATTTATCTAGTGATGAACTTGCTTGTGCTAGTGAAAAATTATTGCATGCCTATAACAAAT